GGTGGGTGTGGGTGAAGACAAAAGAGAAAATGCGCACCCACGCCCACACCCACATCCAAGACTCATTGATGAAAGAATATGAAAACTATCTGCAAAATCCAGTTCATATTTGATAATGTGACAGAATTTGAAGAAGTCAGAAAGATCTTTTATAAATATGAAAAGATGCGCTTTCGAACTTCTAGAAGGTTTAGTATCGATATCATCTCTTGTTATCAGCAATTAAAGGCATTCATTGCATTTTTTGGTGTTAGACATTGACATCGTCTGGCGGTAATAAAACGAGATTTATTATCGATTGTCTTTCATTTTTGTTATTGTATTTTGCTTGAAATTTTTATTTCAGTTTGACTTTCTCCTATGAGAAATTTTATCAACAAATTTTTCAATTATGACATTTTTATTGGTGTAAGATAATAAATCAACATATCTACAAGCCGATTATTGCTATATATACTTGTAGCTGGATTTATTATAATGCAGTTTCTCCTACATTCATAACGTTCATCCCAGAAAGAGAAACTGTGCTATTATTCATTGTTTTTTTGGCTAATACATTTTTATTAAAACTGTAGAAATCAAAATAGTTTATTCCAAGACTTGTAAAAAAAAATTTCGCAGAGCAAAGCAGTTAAAATTCTGAAATTTTCTCTATTTCAGAAGAAGGATATAGTTAATGTATGATATTTTTCTATTAATTTGACTAGTTCGACAATAGAATTTTATTAAAAATTTTGTAAGAAAAAGCTAAATCTTCATCGTTACTCCAGACCATTCATTGTAGCATTCCATTGAAATTGTCAACATGTATTAATCAATCAATCAATCGATCAGCAGATGCTGTAAAACAATTGCGATACAAGTTTGGTGGAAAACTACGAATTGTTTTTTGTTTTAAAATGATAATTTCTTCAAATTACTATGTTCTATGTTTTGTAGGATAGAAGATAGAAGTGTAATCTGTACTTCTCCTAACATTCGTCTTTATATCCTACTGACAAACTTGTTTTTTGTATAATAGTCGAGAAAGTGTGACGTAGATGAAACTATCTCCAGATTCGAGTATTTCCGCCTCGGATTCGCTCCCTGACTAACTCCAGATCTCCCATTTTTGTTCCAAATACTTCTCAAAGATCCAAGCACACAAGAATTTGGAAAAATACTTTTCAGTGCACAAAAAAAGACGAAAAATTAAGAAAAAGTGGGCGTGTTTGAATGATTATCGACATTTCCGATTCTGATCGAAAAACGCCCATTCTCGCCCTTCTTATGCATTTCATTGCGTTCTCAGCTGAAAAACGTGTGCAAATGCATGCAACAAAAGAGAAAAAGTAATCGCTTTTTTTTTATACTCAAAAACTCTCATTATGATCCTGTCACTGATAACGCCTATGACAGAAGCGACCACTCTTTTTTTTATGCATTGACCCGCGTTCCTCGACTTATAACGCGACTAAACGCACATGAAGAGTGAAAAATGAGTGTTTTTCGCTCGCATCAGGAACTCTAATTGCCATACAAACACGCGCACTTCTCTCGATTTTTCATCTTTCGTTGTGCGTTTAAACGCACCTTTGAAAAGTTTTGGGTGCTTGGGGAGCTCTGTCTAATGGCAGATCAACTTCCTCATACCTCAACATAGTTCCGAGAAAAGACCAATTTGTTTGTTCTGCTGCCATGACAATAGGACACTCTAAAAAGTAAATTCGTCCCGAATTCGCTCTGCGACTTGTTCCTAATGGAATTTTATCAGATCTCGACAATAGTGTGGTCAAATTTCCGCTAGGTCAAAAGATAGAAAATGTTCGTTGATAGATGGTGCTGTGGAGCAGTTGAAGATTATACTTTGCTTTATGAGAAATCTGAGCATACCATTAAATAGAATTCGTTGAGATATACTTGCAACAACAGTAGAAGATATAAAGTAAGTCGTAGAACGAATCCGTGCTGGAAATACTTGAATCTGATAATAGCTTCAGGTACGTGAAAACTTGTCTTTGACTAATATAAAGTTTTCATAGAAGTACTTCCAATCAAATTTTATAAACTCAAAATATAATAGTCAAATATAATTATAGTAGAAGCATTTTTTGTATTTAGGACATAATTTAAGCGGAGTTTTTGATTGTATCTTGACTACAGTGTAATAAATTTCCTCAGATAACATTTCTTGTTGAAAAGTGAATTTTTCTTAAGGAGCAGCTAGTATTTGACATTCCTATTATGCAAAGTCTATAGCTTTTCACCAATATACTTCTTAAGATTAAAGCCACAAAAAAGAAACACTACTTAAACAGAGGCGCTGTGCAACTAAATTTTATAAATGCCAAATACTAATAACAATCATAAATTTTTACTTTTATGTGCTTATCTCATGTCCTTCTCAGCGATAAATCCCAATGTAATAAAACATATGTTATTGATTTCTTCTTATTCTATGTCTCTTGAATTTGTTGAGTAAAAGTTTATAATGTTTGCCCACAGATATAGTTGTATGCAACTCAAATCGAGAAATACATGTTAATCTTTATGCATCATGTTATCAAAAACTATAAATGTTGTTTCCACTTACTCATCAAACAATTGTTTTGCATTGATATTAGTAACAATAGGTAATACATTTACATTTCTTTTATGGAGATATTGGAGTTTTATTCAAAGAAATTTGCATTATTATCAGAAAAACGATCTACAGAGACAAATAACACATACATCTAACTATCAAAGTAAACAAATTAGGTATCAGTATAAGATAATATTTATTAGAGTAGATCGATTGATATTTAGGCGTACGACACACTAGGAGTAAAGTGATTTTGGTTAGGTTATTAATAAAGCTATGTGCATATGATTGTTGAAATCAGATCAGTTTTGAAGGCTTCAAGATATGCTATGTACTACGTCGGTTTCACGCCTTGAATAAAAAGTATAAGAATACAACTATAACACTATAGGGCTAAGAAAATAGGTATAGGGTTCTGAAGGTATGGAGACAGTTCTAAGGTGTGAATCTCACTACCAAGAGAGGATCCTCATAGACGTCCCTAATTTCAATTACAATTGAGTACTCAGTACTGTTCGCACTGCTAAATATAGTTTACACGTCCCATGAGTCTATTTTGAGTACAATTGGAAATATATCAAATTATTAAAGTCTCTGTTTTTCCAGCGTTGAAAATAAGCAGCGCAGGCATAGGTTTCAGCACAGTCAAATTTTCAATGCCTATGGGTGTACGTCCAAGTTTCACCATTGAAATACCCACAGCTAGTCACAATTATTCAGAAGTCAACACACCTATATCACTCTTCAGCTATTTTAGTAGTAAATAATGACTCTTCATCAAATTTATATTTATTGCCTGTTATCGTTATTTTAAGACATCGTTGATGCTTTACTTACTTTTATGTTCTGTAAGCACAAGGCAATGGTATTGGAGAAAACCCATACTTCATGTGAAAAAGAATCTGTATGATATTGACTTATTTTTTTTCCATATTATTAAGAGAAGAAATGCAAAAATACAGGATAAATTGTATATAATTACAACATATGAGATGTCAAGGTTCGAGCGTTGTTTGAATTCATTATAGACGAGAATGATCGTTTTTTTTCCTGAAATTTCACAAAACGTTTGATTCATTTTTTCATCATGCTTGTTTATATAAATCGGTAAAATACTGAGAAACAAAGTTAGTAATACTAAGCCAATTTTAATTCTAGTCGACCTTCGAATTTAGTAAGAACTTGTTGCAATATGGATTTATGCTTATTGTTCTCGATCGATTCGATGAATGAGATAAACAACCAAAGACACTTTGAAATTTTCAAAAAATCTTCTAACTTTGTGACTTTTCGATAATGATTATTTATTTAAAAACAAGAGTTACAATTAAATGACACGTAAGTATGTTAGAATTAAAATACTTAAAGACAAGAACAATATGGTGAGTGCGTGGCTATGTATGAGATGCAACGAATTTTTTTATATTAGTACAGCAAAATATTATCACTCACAAGAATTTTTTCTACTAATATTTAAATAATATTGGTATTATTTCAATGAATTACGTAGATATAGCGATAATCGATATAGTTGGGTCAGAAGTTCGAGTCCAACATGCTGAGACCCAACTGTGCTTCCCGCAAAGTCAAGGTCAGGTAATTTTTTTGAGGCTTTGTGACGAAGTTTTTCAGGTTCCATTATCGTAGCTAGAAGTAGAGTAAGAAAATTTACTTGAAATCTTTCAAAAATATTGAGCTACGAACGTCTCCCTGTTTCAATACATTTAATCACATTTCAACAAACTAGAGGCATACTGCATTATGTGGAATCGAGCGATATTTTGACGACGAATATCATATTTATCAATGATGGTAATTCAGTATTGAAAAACTCTTAGATGCCTTCATATTCAACGTAGGAATATTTTTTCCTGTAGGACAAAGTGTAGCACAAAGTCGAATTCAAATCGATTGATTTTTGATCAAAAGTCGATTTAAAGGAGGATATGAATAGAAAGGTACCAAAAACGTACCAAGATTCTCGGCCTGAATTCGATATTAACTATAGTCGAGAGTTTCGTTGGAGACTAGGCTTCGGACAGTAGTGTAAGCACTTTCTATAGAAAATTTTTGGCTTTGTCTAAGAAAGTGGCAGCCCTGGTGCACCCTTAAACGCATGGGATATACCTAAAAGTAGTTGAAAGAAAAATATTACGATAGATCTGCAGCGGGAAAATTGTCGATCTCGGTGCATACATAGGTGTGAATTGAGGAAGCATTCACCTATGCATCCATTTTTCAAAATAAGGAAGGAAGAATTTTTTCACTTCGAAATAAATCATTTTCCTTTTATTTACGTCGAATATTTCATTGTATATGGCGGCATTTTTATTTTCTTTTAGTCTTAGTTTTTATTTGTAATTCAGTTTCTTTTCTTTTTCATTTATAGAAATATCTTTTTTAGATAAAAAGTAGATCAGTTGTTGATATAGAAGAAATGTCTATAAAACTTGGTGATGATTTTCCAAATTATAGACTACGAACAACTTTTGGTAATATTCAATTATATAATTGGCTCGGAAATAAGTTTGTCATCGTCTTACTTTTAAACGAAACATTTCAATTTTGCGTTGTTTTAGATGGGGTATTTTATTTTCTTATCCAGCAGACTTTACACCTGTTTGTACAACTGAATTATCACGTGCCGCTAAATTAGAACCACATTTTGCTATGAGAAATGCAAAATTAATAGGTTTATCATGCGACAGTATTGAAACTCATCGGGGATGGATAAAAGTTCGTCTTAAGTTTTATCTTAACTATTTGTTTATTTTGATTACTTAGGATATTCAAAGTTACGGTTCTATAGATCTACCTTCAGGTGAATTTCCATTTCCAATCATTGACGATAGTGATAGAAAATTAACTAGGGAACTTGGTATGAGTGATCCGGCTGAATTTGAAAGAAATGGCTTACCACGTACTGCTCGCGCTGTATGTTTTATTCTATTCATCATTATTAAACTAAAGCTGTTTAATTTTTAAGGTATTTTTTATTGGTCCTGACAAGAAAGTAAAAGCAACATTACTGTATCCAGCAGCGTGTGGCAGAAATTTTGAGTATGCTTCTTATTTTCCACTTATTTATTGATATCCTCAATTGTTCTGTTTTAGTGAAATTCTTCGTCTACTTGATGCATTACAGGTCGTTGATCGTTACCGCGTTGCTACGCCAGTTGATTGGAAGGTTTAATAATTTCTTTTTTGTTGCCTTTTTTATTGCAATTTATTATTTTGAAAGGTTGGTGACAAAGTTATGGTCCCACTCAATGTTGATGATAACGAAGTTGAAAAGTATTTTCCACAAGGTCTTACAGTTAAGAGAGATCTTCCAAGTGGAAAAGGCTATATTCGTACGGCAAATGTTTAAAAATGTTCATGCTTTTGTATTTTTTCCTCTTTAATAAATAAGGACGTCTTTCTCGATATTAAAAGTTAAAAGATATTTAGAAGAAACAATTAGTCTTTACACTATCCGAAAGTACTTATAAAGATTAAGGATACGTCTGCGAATCTTGGAGAAACTCGCACGCTGTCATTTTTGTCTGACAAAAATGAAGACAGACATATGTGTTTCTTAACAAAAAAAGATAAAGAGCATTACTTCTCACGTTCAAGTTGATCTGTATATATATACAATAAATTGATTGACATAGATCCGCTTGTTCGAGATTAGTTCGATTTTGGTACAATCTGATATTTTTTCTTATAAGATAATCCTATTTAAACATATTCGATGAAAAGCATTTCGGATCAACGTCATTGTTCGGTGTACTTGATCTTTTCTGGCTGTAAGAGACCTATTAGAAAACTAAATATTCCTGCAGGATCCATCCCTTTTGTGTATTGTTTAATAAATAAACAAATTGTAGACTTTTTTCTACTTCCAACAATCAATATAAAGAAGAATTATATTGTCGGTGTGAGTATGAATGTGCGGCAGACATGGAGTCAATTCCAGTTCGTTTCGACTCAAATATAATCGAATCAAGTCTCAATCGATTAGTTCAACTTATAGTCGAAGTCAAATCGATCAAAATGAAATTAGAGAAAGCGAACAAAATTAAAACCATTAAAGTTCATTTTGCTACGGCTTCTGATGTGGTCTATGTGGGTGGATTGGGAATATTGTAGATGTGGAGGCTTGTGTTTCGGATAGTTCTCTATCGACACTCACAGCCACACCCGTACTCGCAGCCATCGATAGCCACTATTGCATCACTACTACAAATTAATGGATAACTGCATAAATCAAATTCAATCTCGTCCATATTGTGTCTTTAAGCTTTGACGGTACTCTTACCGTCGCATGACCTTCTCAGCATTTAGATGATCACTTACACTGAGCAAACCATCGTCGAATCAAGCGGAGGAACACACAAAATCCTTCGCTCTTGTAGTGATGGAACCATTAGACCAGTTCGGGATGAGCTCCTCTGCGAACCGTTTTCCTCAGCCACACGTTTTAGTAACTAGATGAGAATTAATATCTCCCTCTTGCCCCTCTGGAATACTATTGAGCTCCCTCCAGTCATTTCCGAAACACGTATTTTATGAATTAGGACGACAGAGATCCTTATCCAATCACCATCGGCTCGTTCGCCTAATCCAAAACCTCGGTTCAGTCACTGCCCGTCTCCACTTCCCATGTTGCAGCTTGTATTGGTTTGTGTTTGTTTTATTGCTTTTCCTTGGGCATTTTTAATTTTCATCTGATTGGTGCCTTACTTTCAATTCTTTGCTCCCTCTCTGTGTCTTCGTTCAATTTATCTGTTAGTTCCTTCTAAATAACAGAACCCGTTTCTCGCACAAACGGCCGATTTTACGTTGACCGATACATTCGCACTGATAAATTCTGTCAGCCCACGGCCCAGTGAATCGACTTTCAATGTCAATGAACGTTACTTGTGTATTCAGTCAACTGAATGCTAACACATTGACTGTTTATCCGAAACATCTCCACTTATGGGTGTGTGGGTGTCAGTGTGGGTATGAGGCATGGGTGGGGGTGCGGGTATGGGTCTTTGCAACGATACCCATACCCCACATTCACCACCCCACCCACACCCACACTCTTGTCTATTGCTACTGTATACTTCATCTAATGGCAGAACAATTTGATAGATGGTGATAGTGAGTTGTAACATTTAGAACCATTATAGAAGACTGTTGAACAGTGATTTCAGGAACAGTTCTAGATAAAACAAAAAAGAGCTTCTCCCATACTTCATATTACTCTTATTTACCAAAGCTCTCTGAAGGATGATTATAGTCAGTTTTACATTAATCATTTCTTGATGTATAGACGACTATTTGTCAATGACATTTGTAACGCAGCCCGATAAAGAATGAACATTGAATCAAGAATAACAAACCGTTTGTAATGAGCAAATAAAATGATCTATTCATGTACCCAGAACAAGAAATCTTTCCAACAAAAATATAGAATAGTCAGCCTTTGTACGTAGAATAATAATCTCTTGTAAACTAAGAAGTAGAAGGATCAACTCCTATACGTAGAGTAATAAACCTTTTCAATCAAAGTATAGAATAATCAACTTGGATGCGTACAATGATAAACTTTTTAATACGAAGAAGTAGAAGGATAAACCTCTATACGTAGAGTAGTAAACCTTTCCAACTGAAGTTTAGAATCATCAACTTCCGTACATAGAAGAATAAACCTTTTTAAACTAAGAAGTAGAAGAATCAAGTTCTGCGCGTAGAGTAATAAACCTCTGTCAATGAAAAAGAAGTTGCATCAACTCTCATACGACAAGAGAAATACTGTTAGCAGTGAAAGGGTAGAGAAGTCGACTTTTACCATGAAAATAAAAGATCCTTGCCAACGAAGACCTGTAAAACATAACACATCACGTATAGTAATAAACCTTTTCAAAGACAAGGTATAAGAATCTAACCATAAGCGTAGAATAATGGGCTGTTTATTGAAAGGGTAGCATTTTCTTCCCAGAAAGGCAAAGTGACATACTCATTTAATCAAGAAGTAGTATAATAAATCTAAAATAGAATAATAAGACATCCTGATCTTGAACACGTACAATAATCTACTGATATCGGTTGAAGAACATACTCTAATGTTGAAATCGTAAAATAACAAACACTCATATAACCATCATATATTCTTTGAGCTTTCATAAACTTATAGTTTCACAAATGTTTCAAGCAGTAAACCCTTAAATAGTTGATAACATTGGCATAAACCCTTTAAGGATTTATTGACAAATTTCTTAAATGCAAGGGCAGATTATTCTGCGGATTTTTTTCAATGATAATAGACCCTTTTTTTCATAATGGTTAAATGATCTGCTCTTTGACGTAGAATAATAAATTCTCTTTTCCATAATCGTGGAATAGTCTAGCCTTAGAGGTAGAATAATAAATTCTTTTCTGTAGTCGTAGAGTAATCTATCCTTAGATGAAGAATAATAAACCGACTTCCTACAACCGTTGGGTGATCTACCCTTTTGCTGCAGTCGTCGAATAATCTGCCCTAATGTGTAGAATAATAAATACTTTTATGGGCCTAGTAGAGTGATCTACCATTATGCGTACAACAGCATATCCTTCTAATGAAAACATAGAATAATATACCTTTGTGGGTAGAATAATAAACTCTTTTGATTAAAACTTTGAGTAATAAACCCTCAAATACGCGTCAGATACCCTCATTGCTATAAACCCTTCGGTCCATAAATCGTTAAAGGGTACATGACATAGGTATCAACCCTTCAAGGATTTATGGAGCCGTTTTTCTAGTGCAAGGGTTGATTATTCTACGGATTTTTTTTTTCAGTGTATCCACACCCAAAAATAAACCATAATATATACAGCCGGAACTTACTTTAGTCAAAATAAGAAAAAAGCGTTTGTGATATCTCGATTTAAGTGTAGCAACGAGAGACAGGAATGGATACAACAAATCGAATTGGCATAGAGTCTACCGGCTGATGTTGATGAAACATTGTCTCATTTCATTTTCAATATGAGTGCATTTTATCAATAAACGGTATCTATAATATCTTTTCATTTTATATATTCGATGGCCCATGAATTTTTACAAAATTGAAGTAGCCACCGTGCCAGCGAACCATTTTATCATATGTCATTATAGAACAGTGACGGAGCCCAACAATTTAAAATACGGATACCATGTAGTGTGATTAGATTTTTAATGATAATTTCTGTTTTTGTCATAATGATTAAAAGCAAGTTGAGAAGTATTTTGATGTTGCACTTTTTTGTCATTGAAGGCTGCAGATAAAGTTTTCTGCATTCTTAGCGTGAAACAAACGCGAATTATTTTGAGAGTAACATATTTATTTCATACTAAGAAGGATTTTTTTTTATCTACTCACTATCATTTTTCAAGATTTGTCTCATAGATGAGATTTAAACTAGAGAAAACAGCTAATGAGAGAATATTCTCAAGTGTGATTAGCCAATCAAACTAATATTTTGCTCATTAGCAGACTTCGATGAAAAAATCGAATTATGAAATTTTCAGCTGATGTTTTGTTCATTAATAGGTCTCGTGGACCTTAGAATGTCCTGAAAATTTCAACCCAAATATGGTGTATTGTTCTTGAGATATCAAATGTTGAAAACACTGGGTTTTATTACTGTCCGTTGTCACACATGATTATTTTCGGATATTCAATATCTCAGGAAGAACACATTCTTTTAGCGTAACATTTTCAGGGTATTCAGCATGTTAGTGTAGGCTGAGAACAAGACACTCAAACTCACACACACGTATCTTAAGCTTTGTGATTGAGTGTATTGATTGAAAAATGCAAGTCATATTACACTTAGCTATTGATCTATTCACATGATACGGAGATTGATCTTGGTGTTTTATTTCTATCGACAATGAGTTCCATTATTGTGAGCATAATGATGACTTTTTCTTTATTCGTATATAGTTTTATAAAATAAAATTTTCTGGATGAAAAAAATTCTCTCCGATGCCGAGTTAACACGGGTTTTATTTTATTGAATACAGAGAATAACTGAAGCAAAGGAAATATTATCAATTAATTATGAATAGATTTAAGATAAAAATTATAGTTGTCAGTCATAATGGTTCGATTAATATCATGATGCGAAATAAAGATATTCATTCTCTTGATGATCCTCAAGCGACAAAACCTCAGCTATAATTTGTATTAGCATGCTATCGTTTTGTAATTAGCGTAATTTTTGTTAGAATGCTCTGAACATTTTCTTCTTGAGATAGAATTATTTTTGGTTGTCGAATATATTTTCAACAAGCAAAGGCATTCGAATGTATTTAAAAATAAGCATGGGAACGTTTTAGAACAAAATTATATAGATCTGTTTTAAATTGCTTATTTTTATCTATCGCATTCGATGGATGTATCAAAAGTCAAATATTATTTCCACTCGAGTGAGACAGAAAGCCACCTGGAATTGAAAACAATATTATTTTCTAAAGCGTCTGTGCATCAAACATGTTACTGACATTTTGCATTTTATTTAGTTCTACTTTTTTTTTTTAACAACTATAATCGAGTAAGCAGGGTAAACCATAAATAGTTCTATGGCAAAAATTTGAAAAATCTCGGCTTTGGTTAAGTCAAATTGACTAAGTTCTTAGTAAATGATAAAAGTGTATTTATAGCTTTTGTTTTTCTTATGGATAACGTAAGTAAATATTACTGTCAAGTTAAAATTTTTTTCATCTCGCGAAAGAAACTTAATGAATGATAGTATAATCATGCACACAGTATTTTTACGAAAGTACTCAGATTAATTGCTGAAATTCCTCTTTCATGAGTAAAATGCACAGTTGCAATTCATAGGACTTAAAAAGATCAGCTTGTTTGCAAAAATCAATGTTTGGTGTTTGAAAATTCGAAATCTTGTTATCGTTGATATTTGAACTAAATAGCTCTCAAAATGTGCTTTATGTTCATCAGTATATAGTATCATTCATGGTCTCCCTTTTGATTTCTTATTATTATTCTTTTACAAAACTCTGCACATATATTTTTCTTACTTGATAGTAAGTTGTAAATTTCTATCTCAAAAATGAAGCTAATTTGATGGAACCAACGCGAAGATATTTCATCATTTTTGTCGTAATACTATCTGTAACCCACGCTGTATGATAATTTTTAACACTCACCTGAGGAGTCATACTTTTTTAATCTTGCTAATATGTTCTAATTAACAATATTAAAATATCATTGTAGACTTCACTCTGTAATAAACATTTCAAATTTGTTGCTATCCGAAACTTTTGCAATTGCTAACAAAAAGTTTATTAAGAATGATTAAAAAACAAGATTTTTTTATGATGAATGTCTACTGATGTAACTTTTCATCGTCTTCATTGTATGTTCGAATTTTCTGAAGCTTGTACTACTTACACTATAGATATTCACATTATTGTCTTTAGCAAATAAGAAATTCTTATTTAACAAAAAAAAAGGAAGAAAAACATTATTCATTACTCGTAAAAAGGAAACCGACACTGCATGGTATCATGTCATCATTATCAACAGCACAGTTAATTCTTAATGCTTCTCAACAATATACAGTCTATGTTAGTTTTATTATTTTATTTTCTGGTGTTTTCGGACATATTACTAACATCTTCGTATTTGCTCGACTTACAATTTTTCGAGGAAATCCATCTGCGTTTTATCTCATTGCAGAATCGATTATTGATTTACTTGAATTAATGATTGCATTTCCATCTAGTATTGCAATTAATGGATTTGGTAATGATCTATCACAAACATCGGTACTTTGGTGTAAATTAAGACCATTCTTGACACAATCTATAACTGTGATTTCACTTAATATTGTCTGCTTTGCTGCTATTGATCAATATTTATCAACAAGTTATCATCCATTTTTAAGACAAATAAGTACAATAAAATTAGCTAAAATTCTTACTACTATTGCATCTATATTTTGGATTCTACATGGTATATTACTGTTGTTCTTCCTTGAAATTCAATCAAAACATGGATGTACAGTATATAGTGACAATTTTAGAAATTATATTACATATTTCTATTATCCTATACTCATTGGAACTTTACCGATCACTATTTCGACATTGTTCAGTATATTAGCTTATCAAAATGTTCGTCGTATTATACGACGTCAAATGCCAATGCGTCGACGAAAACTTGATCAACAATTGACAGCAATGATTCTTATTCGAGTTGGACTTTTAGTCGTTATGATATCACCGTATCTTCTACAACGGATTTATACAATTAGTACATTAACAGCCAACAACAGTCCAATTTCTCAAGCCATTTTACAACTTACTGCAGCTATAGCTGTTTCATTGTTTAATCTTAATTATGCAGTATGTTAAATATAGATATTTATTTTATTTATCTTGATTATTTTAGGGTTCTTTCTACATATTTTTAATATCATCAACACGATTTCGTCGACAAGTTAAATATGTTTTTATAAATAAATGTTGGCGAATGTATTGTAGAAAAAGAATACGTCAAAATCAAGTGGCAACATTGGTACAATGTTCTACTAGTGAATTTGATTTACAATCAATGTAATAATGCATAACAATTCATTATTCGATTATTAATAATGCAATGCTATCCAATATATAATATTAAATATTTCAATGACTTGTATTGGACGGATGTAGGTATAGGTGGACGTATGAGCGCAACACCCGTACCCTTGAAACTTTAGGAGGGTGTAAAAAATTTTTGTCCAAGGTAGTGTCTGTTTAAAACAGGGAATGACTGATAAGTGTTTGTTCTGTGCATAGAACACAGTTCGATTGCTATATTATCTAAAACAATAAATCAGCATATTTAAAATGTATACAAGAGGGTGGGTGTGGGTGTGGGTATGTGGGGTGTGGGTGGGGTGTGGGTGTCGGTGTGGATGTGGGTAGGGGTGTACCGCTCAAGCTCATCGTGAGCGCTGACACCGCTCATGCTCACGCTCACGGTGAGAGTGAGCAGTAGGCGCTTGTGCTCATGTGCGTGAGCGAAGATGCCCTTGGGTCCTCATATTCTATTATGTGAAGATACCCTTAGGCCCTCATCTCCCATTATATGAAGATATCCTTAGGTCCTCATGTTCTATTATTTGAAGATATCTTTAGGTCCTCATCTCCCATTATAGGAAGATACTGTTGGGTCCTCATCCTCTATTATATGAAGATACCCTTGAAGTCACTGCACCGGAACCACGACTGACCATGTTCAATCGATAGTCTTCGATTTTGATGAAAGTTATTCCATTTTGTAGAGCAAATTTTTTATGTATAAAACCAAATTCTTAGACTAAAAGGTTGAGCTTTGACTGAGATACTCTCATCCAACTAATAGCACTCAAAATAGACTTTTGTTAATATGAGAAATTTTTGATTAATCTCTTGTGTAAGCTATTTTGACGATATCTCGTCACCAGTACGCGCTAGAGCTATGAATTTTTGACTGGATATACATTTTGAGATGTGGAATGCAACTATCATATTCAATAATGTCCATATCTTCAAAAAGTATGACTGAATTTTTTGAGGTCACCTCTGATTTTCCTATATATTAGGGTCAAAAATAGCCCATCTTCATGATAGGCTTTCTCCAGATCAGTGTGATAGAATTTGCTGATTATTTTTTCTCAAAGACTACTAACCTAGTACTACTTAAATATGCAATCAAAACTTTGGGATCTTGAAATTTGTCTGGGCAGATGGTAGCAACAAATATCACTACCTTGTTTATGTGTCAGTCCACATAAGCCACGACCGGTTCCCACAAAAGCTGCTCAATCGAGGTCGTCCAACTTTGCTCGATTTAATATTTGTTGTAGAGGCAAGAGTTTAAAGAATTTTGACGCAAACCGTTTTAAAAGATATTGTTCTATTCTCGAGATACTGCAATTTTTATGAGGGTACTATTGTTAAAAAAAGTGCCTTTTTTGTCATTTTTTTGTGACATCTTTATCTCATCAAGGATACATGCTATTGGCTTGAAATTTTTACTGTGACTAGATATCATAATTGCGTATCATCGAAAAAAAACACGAGCTCAAATGGATAAACTATTGAAGAGTTGCGCAATACTATCAAGTACATTGAAAAATAGTTATTTTCCAATATTTTGTGCATATGCCTATCACATAAAGAAATCATGTTAGGGAGTTGAAATATTGGCTATGGAGAGGTCTCATTGAGTACATAGTCCAGTAAAAATTTCAGCTTTCTCATGGTTCCTACCGCTCAAGAGATCTTCCATAAAATCATGATTTTGACCAAAATCACCATTTTAGGAGGGTCCGATCTCCACTGCTAACACTTGAATGGAACGAGGGTTGGTGTAGTTTCTGAGTACACATTGAGTAAAGCTCTTGACACATTAGAAAACCTCCTCATAGTAGAAGACCCTGTTGGACAAATGCAGCAAAAGACAGTTTAGAAGACCTCCCTGTAAAAATTGTTCGCTTTAATGATCTCTAAAGCTTTTTGATTTTTTTAACATTTATGTATATATTAATATATAAGTTTTTTTTAGTATGGACAATATTTTGCTTCCATCGTCGTGGCAGCATGTTAGCTCTGAGTTGGACAACTCATGAGAAAAAGCTAATAGGAAAGAGCAGTTAATTAAAAAAAAAGTTTTTCTGTATAAAAAAGCATATCTTAAGGTCACTTTGATGCCCCTTTGCAGCACACTGTGAAGAAACTTACTAGATTTCCTTTGCGAAAATATTTGTTTCAGCGATTATAGGATCTAATTAACGTGGTGCGCATCCAAACGTGTCACACATGACGAGATCTTTCTAAAATAAGAACATCTTTGGTAAAAGATCGCTTTCCATTAGTTAATACTTCGCTTCGTCTGTGCACTTTCTTCTAGAAATTCTGACATGTTTTTATCATGAAAGATCTCATTTATAATTGGAAAAAATATATCTCTCAGGATTTGCAATGAGATGCTTTTTATGAAATACCCTTCCTATGTATGAGGACATATTTCTTTTTCGCATAAAGATGCCTAGTTAATTTTCAAAAAAACAAAAGATTCTAAACTCACTCTCAACGTTTATTCAATCGCTCTTTTCCTGTAAAATGTTTCTTCGTAGATAACCATATTCATTCAAAGTAGCTAGCAACTAATAACTAAGCTGGTGGTACATTTCATTTTAAACCAATTCTATTAATACGAGCCGATCTTCAACATAAGCAACTTACTTAAATAACTTTGACTGAAAATGGTTTAATTTTCTTTCTTTAAGTTATTTATACCCCCCTCCCCCCCTCTCCCGGGATAAAAGTCTTTCCCTCATTGTTTCTATGCTATCATACTTTGCACCAAATTTATGACCAAATAAAGATATGGCATAAGAGTTTCATTGCAGTGTGATCTATACCATATAGAAATAAAACTCTTATGTCATATCTTTACTAGGCAATAAATTTGATGCAAAGTATGATAGTATAGAAATAAAGTGGAGAAAGAATTTTGCCCGAAAGTGTAGTTATATAGAGCAGGGTGTGGGTGTGGGTGTGTGGGTGTGTGGGTGTAGTGTGGGTGTGGGTGTGTGGGTGTAGTGTGGGTGTCGGCGTGGGTGTGGATGTGGGTGTGGGTATGGGTGGGTGTAGATGTGGGTGTGGGTGTGTGTGCGTGCGTGTTGGAAAGAAAAAGATAGACACCCATAACCATATGCACACCCACACCCACACCCACCCACATTCACACCCACATTCACACCCACACCCACACCCAACCCACACCCACACACCCACACCACACCCACACCACACCCACACCCACACCCACCCCACACCCACACATCCACACCCTTTTTGTCTATACATGTTTCAAACGATGAACAATACCCGCTGAGCCACTTAACAACGAAAAGCCAGAAAAACAAGAAAGTCGATAATGATACTGCTACAATTTCAAACATACTAAAAGTTTCCTTACTTCAGAACACTCCGAAAGAATTGTGGAATAGATTATCACACTAAGACATATTCGTGTTTTGAGTGCATTGTCTTTCTTCGAAGAAACAAAATAAAATGTAATGCCGTCAGACTTTCATCAAAACCGTCGATTCATGAGAACACTGGCGGTGCGACACAGTTTTTTCCTCATCTATCAATTTTTGAAAAAAAGATCTTGTTTTTAAATTATTACTTTTAGTCTTGAAAAGTGGATTAAAACATAACAAAAATCTAGATTATTATGTAACAGTACCATCTTGAATAAAACTTCGAACTCGAACAGCAAGTAAATATAACAGATTTGGTTGGTATCTTGCGACTAAGAGGGATGTTGGTCTCAACTTAATTTTCATGATTTGATAAGACTTGAAAAATTCTCATCCTCTATAATACAGAAAAATATGTGGCTAAGAAATTCTGACTCATACTTGGTTTTTTGACTTATTTGAACGATATGGAATGTATTTTATTCTTTCTAAGCTATCGGCTAACCTGGCCATTGCTATCTGAACTTTTAGTCTTAATCTCACATGAAGAAAAGCCTGTTAGTGATTCGTTTTCATAAGTGCCATTCTTTGTTATAATTTTCAAGCAAAATATTCGAATTCCTTGTTTCGATATAAATATTGCTACAGATGTTTAATGATGTAACAATTTTCCCCATAATTCAAGGAAATATTTCCTTTCTTCTCGTTTTTAAATTCTATTAGGAAGTTGTCGCAACATTTAGAAGATTCGTGAGATATAATTTGCACAAGATCAACGTTCGATAGACAGTCGAACAGATTTTTAAATTGAATCTGAAATGATAAAAAAGGTAAATATTTCTTGTTGGGTGTGGGTGTGTATCTTATCTTAGATGACGTCAACACCCACACCGTTTAATTGTTTAGCGAATTGTTTTAATACTTGGCTAACCGAATACAGATATCCTGATGTTTAGAAATGAGCTAAGATAGTTACATTAAATAAACTGAAGACAAGAGTACCTCGTTGTGATCAGACACGACCAATTTCATTTTTAGCCACACATTCAAAGTTATTTGAAAAAATTATGCTAGATAGAGTGAGACATTGGGCAGAAACTAATAATTTAGTTCCAGCTAAACAGTCAGATTTTCGTCCATCTTATCTACTTTCTACTAGAGTTCTATCAATATATCAAAAGGAAAGAATAATCTAACAGCTAATAATCCAACATTAGCAGTATATGTTGTCTATCAAAAGGCATACGATAAAATGTGGCATAAGGGTCTTGTTGTTAAGCTCAATAGATTCGGTATGCCTTTAGGTTTGTTGAAAGTAATTATTTCATGGTTAAATGATCGTTGTGCCTATGTTAATTTTGGATAGAATAAATCGAAAATATTTTATACTCATGTTGGTTTACCACAAAGCAGTAGTTTAAGCCCATATCTATTCATTGTTTATCATTGTGATCTTATTTTATGTTTAGGTGTTCATTCTAGCTACATGTTTGCCGATGATCTAAATGTACTTATATCCCCACCAATACGTAGAGAAATTAAGCCGATAATTAAGTTTTTAGAAGAAAAAGGAAAAAAATATGTAAAAAAAATAGCGGAT